AGACCGTTAGATGATGTGATCAGCAAGTAGCAGTGCTCACTGCTCATTATGGAGGTAAGAGGTAACCGGTAGAACTGTATAAGAACCTATACGGTAATACGGTATATTATCTATTATCTGGTATTTGGTACGCCTAATGGGTAGTTATGGTCGCCATACACTGCAGTCAGGACGTCGAGTAAATCTACAGTGGGACCGCCCGCCGACCCAGTCTAAAAATCGTTTTCGAAAATCGGGTGGACATCAGGTACACTGTATCATTGTCCAGAGAAAAGTAAAAATCACCTGCKCCCTTCGGTGATGAGACGACCGGGTATTGTCCGCAGGCATGGTAGTGTTGGTGATGAGAAGAGATGGWGGGAAGGGTAACGTGACATGCAACGCAGCGCACCGGCTAGGCGCCCCGCTGCGATCCGACTCGGCGAGAGTGTACAAATTTTCTCGTTCATCGTGCTGGTGGCGGCGGCCGCCGACCGAGTGCGCCGCATTATCGTCACCGGCCATCACCCACAACACGCTCGTTTGTTTACAGCCGGCGGTGATAACGTGTGCGTATGTTGACCATAATGATAATATTATTATTACAACAATAATAATATTGAAATAAAGTCAAGTCGGACGATTGTTACACGACTCGAATTGTTCGAGCAGCCGGTTTGGTTCGGACGTTCAGGTGGAGGCTACATTTTTTTCTCGCCACCCCCGCTGAGTGCCCCACCCACCGCCTGTCACTACGGGCGCAAATATTTTCTTTTCTCCCCGTAGCACGCACTCTCGCACGCGCAGGCACCGACCGCACGCACGCGCACGAGCACAAGCAGGCGCGCGTTTTTACCCGCCGCTTTTCTAACGCCGTGTTCGCCGAAAATATGATAGTGGCGAAGACGACGACAACGACGACGACAACGATTCTATTACCGCACCGACACGCCGATGCCGACGACGACGCCGTACGCGCGACGACGATCCGTCGGCCAAGTTGCTGATCTGCCGCCGCCTCCACAGCGAAGACGATGCGCGGCACGACCATTGTCCCGYCGGACGACCGCCCGTCGTGAACCTTGTGCCGTTGCTGTTGCTGCTGCCGCCGCCGTTGCCGTCACTGCCGATCGCAACACCACTGCGGACGCTCGGGGCACGGTCGCCACTATTTTTCCTTCGATGTCCCGGACACCAGTCTCCATGAAATGCGCCAAGATGTCGCCGTCATGGATTTGTGTGATGCTTTGCTGCACCGTGATGATGTCGCTCGTGAATGGTGAGTACCGGTGGCCAAGTCGCTTTGCTCGGTTTTCGGTGAAATTATCTCGTCGTTTTGATCGAGGCGCGTCTTACCGCCATCGTTGCCACTGATTGTTATTACTATTGTCATGTCATCGTCACCGTAGCCACCTTTTTCAGGGCTTTCTTCAGACCTTTGTTGGCGTTTGAATGCTTTACTAAACGCCTTCGCCACACACCGAGTTTTTCGTTTTCTATATATTTTCTCGTATAAAATTCCTTTAACACTCTCTGCTCTGGCACATTTTGTTCAGATTCATAGTACAAATGGCGATAACTGTCGTTTCACACATCACATTAAATCAAACTGTACATCATTATAGGCAGTTATAGGATTCTATGTAGAATGTAGACCGCAGTTAGTTCTTGTAGCGTTCTTAGTAACGGCTGAATAATCTCATCACATGTCAATTATATTTGGTTTCAATGTTGGACAATAGTGTTTGACATAATATTATAACACTATATTATATTATATAATCAACATACCTTAATCACCCTCTTTCACATAAGTAGCATTATGCCAATAATAATTTAAGATTGATTTTCAGTTTATCTTAATGATTGTATTTGAAGGAAAAATTCATATTTTTGTTTAAGTGTTTTTAATTTATACTCTACTATTGGTACATATTCTTGTTTAGTGTATTTTGTATTACAATTTTAAAGTAACATAGAGGCCCTAATATTTTGAGTAACCAAATACAACCTTATAAAATCACACCCACCTGTTGTAATTCAAATATATTATATTGTGTATTGCATGTATGAAATTCAAAATTATTCATATTTAATTTAATATAAATACTGTTTCTTTGCATTATTATTTACTTTGTCTATTTGTTCACCTATGTGACCTCTGTGTAATTTTTGATTAAATAATATAAATAGACATAAACAAGTATTTACATTTACCCATTTGTAAATAAAATGATATCAAATATTGTATTAATGATAAAAATTTATCTTCACTGCAACATTGTGGCATTAATTTAATACTTAAAGTATGAAAATAAATTAAAATAGCATAGCTACATAATACCTATATTGTATACACAATCAAGTTGATTAGATTGTGAATGTGGTCAAGATGTTTTTGAGATTTTTAAACAACTTATATATTGTTGATTTCTGTTTAATTTTCAGGTAGGTAGATACTAAAAGACAATTACAGCCAAGGTTTCATGATAAGACCACAATTTATTTTGTGCAGTTTCTGCATAGATCTAGGCTAATAATACATAATAAATATTTTTATTATGATTCAATAATTTATATTAAGTTTTCATTAAAAACAAGAACTAGGCTATTTTTCAAGCATTGTAATGTACTAATGACTGATGTATCATAGTATATACTTAAATATATATAATATTTATTATTTATATAAATCAGTTCAAATATTTTGCTTGAAATCACATTTAATAATTTTGCAATTTAATCCTAAATTTTCAAAAATGTAATTACTGTCAAAAACAAAATAATACATACCCACCGGTTAAGTTTATCTGATCAATTGATACTACAGTTGTATTACAGGAACTTTATGACTTTCAAAATGTTATTAAATGTATTTTGAATTTATCCAATGTTAATTTTTTTTAGCTTATCCAAATTTGATATATACAACGTCGAAAGATATCCGAATGGCTAATATGTCAAAATCGACCAGGATTAATGTTATAGTTAAAGTAAGTTCCTAGTTAAATGTCCAATTGTATTTATTTACATTTTTGATTGTAATCAGCTTAACCTTAATGGTTAGATACCATTATATAAAAATAAACGGCTAATAGTTAACCATTTCTTATATATTCAGGATCTTATTGAAGGAAGTGCACTTGATTTCTATTATAAAGGATCTTTGATATGCTGGGCTGATCATGGTCAAGAATCTATTCAATGCGTATCTTACAATGGAACTCATGCTAGTAACAAAGTAAAAATATTTCATTTAAATAATAATTCTAAATTATGTACATTATCAATCTTTACATTTAAACTATTTGCTTATTTTAATTTTAATAAGTTAAAACATAAAATATTTATTGAAAAAATAAATATATTATACTCTGTAGTAGTATGGTTTGTCTCATATAAAAGTAACCTCGAGCAATGACTAATTTTCGTGTGGTTTGGTCAGATCACACCCCTTAATAAACCTGTTGTCAGCTTTTGTTTTGGTTGATTTGCTGCAGTTAAAAATGTGTTTACTGTGTTAACATAGGCAAAATGCAAGTTAAGCAGTTGTTGGATTATAAAATTATTCCTAGAATCGTGGCACTTAATCTTTTGTTAGCCATTTTTATTATTGCTGCTGAGGTTACTTTTATTATATTAGAGTATTATTACTATTATTATTTGTATTATATTTTAATATGACTATATTTGAAATGTTGCATGATATTAATTTATTGGCTATAAATATTATTKCATAGTTGTAATATTTTATTTTATGTTTATATAAAATAGGTGGCAATATTAAATACTGGTATTATTACACCAGATGGTTTAGCTTGTGACTGGCTTACTAAAAAAATATATTGGACTGATGGAGATACTAATAGAATTGAAGTAGCATCATTAGATGGTAAATATAGAAAAGTGCTTTATTGGGAAGATATTGATCAACCACGTGCTGTAGCTTTAGTTCCTATGGATGGGTATGTTTCATCTTAACATATTTTATTGTTTCTAAACGTATTGTATAATTATTATTTCTGTTAATTCCAGCATTATGTTTTGGACGGATTGGGGGGAAGTTCCAAAAATTGAACGTGCAGGAATGAATGGAGATTTATCTACACGAAAAGTCATAGTTAGTGATAACATATTTTGGCCAAATGGCTTAACTATAGATTTTCATACCAAACACATCTACTGGGTTGATGGAAAACTTGGTTTTATTGATGTAAGTATTTTTATTTTATTTTCAGTACTTCAATAATCATTTGTATTAATATGTTATATCTAGATAATGGATTATGATGGGAGAAATAGAAAAACTATTCTTGAAAAAGGAATACCATATCCATATGGTATAGCTCTATATCAAGATAGACTATATTGGACTGATTGGAAAACATGGTTTGTTAAAATATTTTTATTTATTCTTACAAAAATATATCAGTAATTACCTTGTAAACAGTATAGTTTTATTGTTAAGAGATGATATAAACTTCATTTCAAATATAATTACCTTTAGAATGATTTTTTTTTCTTTATATTTCCCAATAGAGCGTTTATATTCAATAAATAAATAAGTAGTGATAGAAGGTTTAATTGGAAAAATTAACTAGTTTTCAGAGTTAATACTTATTTTTTCATCTCATGATTGATGTTGCTTCAAATTTGAAACTTAAATAATAATTATTAATAATACTGATAATTTTTCTATTAAAAATAGGTCGATTCATGTAGTAGATCGCAGAGGAGGTGGAAATAGCCGTGAAATTATACATAGTAATAATGTACCAATGGATATCCGTGTATGGAATTCTGCTCGGCAGCCAGAAAAAATTACTCTGTGTGATAAGAATAATGGAGGTTGTTCAGATTTGTGTCTTCTTTCACCCAATTCCCCTGGATATTCATGTGCTTGTTCCACTGGAATAAAGCTTTTAGATCATCATAATTGTGCTGAAGGTTGGTTTTGTTAAACTATATTAATCAAACAAAAATACTGCTTTGATGTTTTATAAATAATTTGTGGTCATTGTTTTTTTTTAGGTGTCCAAGAAGTTTTGTTTCTTGTACAAAAAACTGATATCTATCAAATATCATTAGATTCTCCAGATCATACTATTATGTCTATACCTCTTACTGGTTTAGCTCATGCTATTGCCATTGATTATGACCCTGTTGAGGGGTATATTTATTGGACTGACGATGAAGTACTTATTATTTCATATATATGGTTGTACTAACAATTCAAATAATAACAAATTATCTCTTAATATAGATTAAAATGATTCAACGAGCAAAAATGAATGGTAGTAATCAAGGAGTTGTTATTTCAAACGAGATATACCATCCAGATGGAGTAGCCATTGACTGGGTTGCAAGAAACTTATATTGGACAGATACAGGAACAGATAGGATTGAAGTTGCTAGATTAAATGGGAAACACAGAAGAGTAATTTATTTTTAATATTATTTTATCTATCTTTACAAAATCATATTCTAAAGTACAAATACATTTTCTGTACTTAAGGTTATAGTTGCTAATGATTTGATAGAACCTCGAGGTGTTGCTGTAGCACCTGAATTAGGTTGGCTATTTTGGTCTGATTGGTATGACAAACGACCAAAAATTGAGCGCTCCAATTTAGATGGAAATGAAAGAATAGTATTACTTAAAGAAGATTTAGGATGGCCAAATGGAATAACTTTGGATATTAGGTCGAGAACCCTTTATTTTTGTGACGCTAAAACTGATAGAATAGAAGTAAGTTAATTTATTTTTCTTGTATAGTCTAGTTAAAATCAAAAATCAAACAATCACACAAAATAGTCGATTAAATTACCAAATACTTATGTATGTGTTAATTAAAATTATTTCTAATGCTAGTTCTAAGTATATTACCATACATTTTATTGATATTTATTTAAAATATATTGCATCTTGTAGGTTGTTGGTATGAATGGAGAAGACCGTAAAGAACTCGTGAGTGAAAATTTGCCCCATGTCTTTGGTTTGACTCAATTGGGCGATTACCTTTATTGGACAGATTGGCAGCGTCGTACAATTGACAGAGTTAATAAAAATACTGGATCTGATCGAAAAATTATCATAGATCAATTACCAAATTTAATGGGTGTTAAAGCTGTGAACTTAAAAGAGCCTCTTAATGGCAACCCATGCGGTGATAATAATGGAAATTGTAGTCAATTTTGTTTTTATAAACCTAAAGGCTACTACATTTGTGCGTGTGAAATAGGTGATTATGAAACTTATTGAACTAAATTGCATTATTATTGAAACAAATGATAAATAGTTATTAATTACCACTATAGTAACCATTAATTTATTTTATTTTATTAATTAGATTATGAATTGGCTATGGACGGAAAAACTTGCATATTGTCTGAAACATTTCTACTATTTACTCGATTCGAACATATTGGTATATTAAGTACTGAAAATAGTCATTATTCAGATGTTATTCCTATAGCTGGATTGAAAGAAGCTGGGTAATTAAAAAAAAAAAATAATAATACATAGTCACACCCAAAAATTAAAACTTTATTAGTATCTGTATTAAGTTAAATTTGTAAAATTTAAGTAGGTTATATGTTTGACTCCAAAAATGCTTCTGTACAGTGTACAGTGTATACTGTTAATTGTTATATACAGATTGTGTAATGGGGCTAATTAAAATATAAATTTTATTCAATATGCTAGAAATTGAATTTGTATGTTATAATTTTAATAGTATTTTGTAAATTATTTTCAAATAAGGCATACTGTCAACTATCTATAATTCAAAATKTTCACTAATAAGAAGTAATTACTCATTAGTCATTGCCTTCAACATTTTGCTGTAATTAATTAAAAAATAATCTATTAAAGTCACATTCAGTAATTAATTGTAAATTTTAGGGAAAACTAGCTGTTTATCAATAACACTCCGTAATTCAAAGTATATTCACCAAGATGCATAAGTGCTCAGGTGTTCAAACATCCATTTTAATTTGTTTACAGAGTTAATATTCCTAACAAATTGGGATTACACTTTGTTGATAGCTATTTTTTTTAATTTTAATTAACAAATAAATTTGATAAATTGATTGATAATATTATTTAAGGATGAAACAACAGACAATTCATGTATAGAAAAACTTCTGTATATATTTGCTTAGTCTATGATAATTTAGAATCTAAACTGTTTTTAGGGGTTTTTTATGCTATAGATTACCCAATTCCGTGGATTACTTTGGATCCTGATGTTTTAAACACAATAACAAACTGACGTGATCAGTGTTAAGACAATAATGAAAATGGATTAATATAATTTTGGGCCCAGTGCCCAATCTTAATATATCCATTATCTATTATTATATTAAACATATTCCCATTTAGGAGCTCACTATTGATTGATTTATATCTATTTTAAATGATGTATGTTTGTATAATGAAATGTTAATTAGTTATTTTATTGACTTATAGTGCTGTCGATGTTGATATCAAGAATAAACGAGTTTATTGGACCGATATCAGATTAAAAACAATTAATAGAGTTTACTTAAATGGGTCAATGGCAGAAAGGATTATTACATTTGGCCTACAAACTCCTGAGGGTAATTTTTATTAGTTAATTGTAATATTGTAATGTTTAAGAGTATAACAAAATATTCCCAGCTTTAAATAAGTGTAAATATAAGTATTGGGTTTAACTTACTTTCTTTAGCTAACAGTAAGCATGCAGATAACTTAACGTTTCTTCAAAAATTTACTCAATGGAAAAATTGACTCCTATTCCAGTATCTTAACATGCATTCAATGTTCCTATATTTGCTCCACATATTGTTCTATCCCATTTCTATACTATACTTTTTTTTTTTTTTACCTATTGGCTTACTTTTTATTATTTGTTTAATTTATTTAGTTAAGTTTCTATTTAAATATATATTTACCCCTTTATTGATATATTCATTTAATTTTCCACTCAAAAAGTCTCTTAGCATTTATTTTATAAATTAAAATAATAATTTATAAATTATTGACTACAGATTATTCAATTAATATTTTTAATTTTCAACAGGATTAGCTGTTGATTGGATTGGTGGTAACTTATACTGGTGTGATTCTGGTACTAAGCGAATTGAAGTGTCTAGATTAGATGGAACTATGCGTAAAGTTTTACTTTGGAATGACATAAAAAATCCAAAAAATTTATTACTCAATCCTAAAAAGGGGTTAGTATAATATAAGATGAATTTATTTGATTCTTATAATATTTTTCTCATTTATTAGGTTCATGTATTGGAGTGAATTTGATGGAATTACTGGTTCAATTCATAAATCATCAATGAATGGTGAAGGGAAACATTGTTTGATAAATAAAATTGGTAGAGTTATAAGTATTACTTCAGATTATGACAGTGGTTTGATTTATTGGACAACATTGACACCAAATAGTGGATCCATTGAAAGTATTGATTTGAACGGAAGACGTCAAAGTAAAATAGTCTCTATACCTTTTGGTAGTTATCCTTCTGCAATAACATATTTCAGGGTAAAAAACACTTACATAACTATTTTCAAATATTTGTAATTTATAGTCAATTATTGTATTAATTATTTTAAACAATTTAGGGTTCTTTATACTGGTTAGATTGGACGAATGGTACTTATTTCCAAGTCGATATTCAAAGTGGTATAATTTTAAAGCAAACTAAAATAAACTTGGATCATGTTACGGATTTGATAACCTATGATAAATTAAGTCAAACCGGAACAAATCCATGTGCTATAAATAATGGAGGATGCCAACAATTGTGTCTTGTAAAAGGATCAAACAAAGATAATGAACCATTGCCATATCACTGTTCATGTGAAACACATTTCACATTATTTAAAAATAACACTTGCTCTGGTAAATATTAAAATTTTTGAAAAAAATATTCTACTAATAAAATCCTTTTTACCTATAAATATATATTTTTTAAATTTAAAAGTATCTTAATTTACAAATTAACAATAAGGTTTTCAAAGATTTTAATCACAGTTTCACAACCGACAGTGCTCTTTAAATTTTATAAATAACGTTTAAACTTAGTAAAGATTAGAATATCGTTCAAAATCTTAATCTTAGTTATAATTTTTTAGAAACTTATCACTATTATTTATTATTTAGCACCAAATAGTTTTTTGATTGTGGCGCAAAAAACGACATTTTATAGAGTGGTTATGGATATAGACGATTCTTCTGATTCTTCACTTCCCGTCATAGGATTGAAAMATGTAAAAGCAGTTGAATATGATCCAATATCACACATGATTTATTGGGTAAAATTATTTAATAATACTATATTTTAAGAACTTAAATCTATGTTTAATTTATTATATATTTTTTAGATTGATGGTAGAACTCAAATGATTAAACGTTGTCATGAGAATGGTTCTAATCCAAATATGTTTATTGGAAACAATGGAAATGCTTACAATTTATATGATCTTGCCTTAGATCCATATAATAGATTATTGTTTTGGACTTGTACTATAACAGATACTATAAACGTTACTCGTTTAACAAATAGCAGTTTCCAAGGATCTATATTTAAAAGTTTTGATGGGGAAAAACCAAGAAATTTGGCAATTCATCCCGAGAAAGGGTAAATATTTGTATTTTTATGATTTAAAGTTCACTAATTAGATAATCTGTTTAAAATTCTAGTTATATTTATTGGACTGATTTGGGAAGTCAACATAGAGTAATAAGATCCCGCATTGATGGTCATCATAGAGTTATCATTGCCTCAGATTTATTATCTCTCGAAGCACTTACAGTTGACAGAGTACAAAATATGGTTTATTTTTCGTATTCAAGTAAAGTAGATGTTTGTGATCTTCATGGTTATCAGAGGTAAACAAACAATTAATATATATATTTTGTTCATATTTAAGTAGGAATAACATTTAATTTAATTTTAAATTACATTTATTAATAGTTAAATTCATCAAATAGTTACTTATGTAAATAATATGTACAAAATACATGGATTGTATATACCACTTAGTATTATTAGCTTATTTGTACTTTAATCCCACCTCTACCTATCCACCTAAAATAACAAACTTTTGTGTACTATATCAAGTACAATTCAATCAATTTATTTAGACATAGTTGTACATTTTTATAAAAAAAATTGGTTAAATAATTTATCTTATGTTTGAAGGAGTAATATTTAGGCATTTCATATGACATGATCATTTGGAATATTATATCTGTGAGTGATTAGTAAAGGAACATTAGAGTGTGTTTCCAAGAATCAATGTTACAGTTTTGGGCAACCACCGCTGGATGTAACTCTCACATATGTCAATATATCGCTAAAAATAAAATATATATTATTAGTATATATAAATATATATTCTTGTTTGCATAACTATAAAAATTATTTAAAGCGGTGGTAGTGAATTAAACATACTCCCTGAAGTCGAATTTTAATTTCCAAAAAAAAAAATAGTTTAATACTATAGTTCTGTACCAGGCATGTCAAACTTAAGGTATCAAGTGGGCCTAATATATGGAAAAGCTTACTATGCAAACCGCATCCAATAATTTAAGAAAAAAAATATTTAAAATTCTTACAGTTTTTCAGAAGATAGCTCTAGAAGCTGTATAATATTGTATACCAATAAACCATTCTCTAAGAATCTAAGATAGTTGTGAGACTGTATTAATATTTTATTATTTTATGTAATTGTTAATGAATATAGGTAGCTACCGGCCACATAAAGTTGAGCTGTGAGCTGTGTTTTTGACATGTCTGTTCTAGATTATGCTCTTTAAGAATTGCTTTTTAATTATAACTAGACGTGCCCAAAATAAGTACAAATGTAATGCAATTATTTCTTCAACAAACTCTCAATTTTAAGGTCTTTTAAAATTGAAAATTGAAAATCGACTTCCTTAAAACCTTATGTATTTTATCAAAGAATTTATAGGTACATATTATATTCAAAATTAAAATCCAACATTCTGAAATATGTGTAATTTACCACTGCTTATTAGTCTATTTATAACATGAAAAATGTTCTCGGATTCTTTTGATTAAAAATGTTTTTTTTTTTTTTTTTTTTTTTTTTTTATATATATTTCAGTTGTTTTTCCAAATTAGTGTATAGATTATAGAGTATATAGAGTATTTGAATAATATAGTTGAATTTAATTTTCATTTCTATTTACTAACTTTAGGAAAACGTTGATTTCATTTGATGGTGCACAAATCACTAATATAGCTGTTCTTGGACCATATTTATATTGGATTGATAAAGAAAAACAAGCAATAGAAAGAGTTAATAAATCCACTGGTTTTGTAAGTGAAGGAGGCACTGTCATGAATCAAACTCCTCATTTAATAGACATAATCGCTATATATATTCCTACTCCAGAGGTAATAAAATATTTATAATGTTTTATCTTTTTTTATACTAACATTTCCCCAGAAATGTAAGTAACTTATCCTAAACTTACATTTTTGAAGTCTGAATCAACCTTAAATTATTTTACTTATTTTTAAATTTCCCTTAAAAACTGTCTATACAACTTCTGATTTGATGAATGTATTAAAAATAACTTGATCAAACTTATTTTGCTAATATATTTCTAATAATCATTTTTAGGTTTTAATCTACCATAATTTAATTTGTTGTAAATTATGTATTAATGTAATTTATTACTTAATATTTTAGAATTTAGCATCGCATCCTTGCAGTGCAATGAATAAGCATGGTCAGTGTTCACACTTGTGCATTGTCACTGGAGTTAACGAGAGTACGTCCAACAACCATCAATGCTCTTGTCCCATAGGTCTTATAATGAGTGACCGCCAATGTGTGAATGTACCAGTTTGTGGCCCTGAACAATTTATTTGCAATTCACTGAGTGCCGAGTGTATGCCATTGATATGGCGCTGTGATGGCCAAACAGACTGCCACGATGGTTCAGATGAAGTCAATTGTTCAGAGTGCAATATACATCAGTTTAAATGTTTAGATGGCCATTGTATAGGTGTGTAAATACATTAAAAAAAATCAATTAACAAAACAAAAATATGTTTAAATTTTTGTATTTTATCATTTTTAGATAAAAACTGGGTGTGTGATGGTACTAAACAGTGTTCTGATGGTTCAGATGAATCTCGGTGCTGTGAATCTGGATTGCTTTCAAATGATAGATATCAATGCATTTCTAATGGTGCATGCATACCGGTTAAAGAAGTGTGTGATGGTTGGAAACATTGTATCGATGGATCTGATGAAACTTATTTGGCTTGCTCATTGATTAGAAATGTGGGCCATACCACAAGCTCCACTAACGATAAATCATTCAAAGGCACATTGTTTTTCACAATAATTTTCTTTGTAACAGTATTCAGTTTGTTGTTAATCATAATATATCGTTGTGCTAAAAGGTATGTAAAATCAATTTCCCTCATATGTAATTATATTGTTTTATACATTTTCCATTTATATTTTGTTTTCAGTGATCTAGACCATACTCCAAGTCTAACTAGCAATAATATAGTTACATACACACCTATACATATTCCCAGGCAATATTCTTCAACATCCGCTTATACGGCTATGCATAATGGAACACATGTTGACTTAATCTCACCGTCAAACTGTAGCCCCCTTAATCCACCACCAAGTCCTACAACCACACTAACAATGCAAACAAATGATTACATCCGATCAAATCAATACTTGCGATATGATGAACGTTACGAACCTCCTTGCCCGACATTGTGTTCACAAACTGATTTGCCCACCGATATTTATGATGATTCAGATTTTGCATTACCTCTTGAACCATGTCCTCCACCTCCTACTCCTCGATCACATTCGCCATCATCCAGCACTTATTTTAGCCCAAATGCACCGCCCCCATCACCTAATAGCTGTAAAAGGCTTTGTTGAATATTTATTTTTAATAATCATTGAATTTTATTAAAATTTTGTAAATTGTTGTTTTATTCATTGTTTGTAACAATTTTTAGAATGCAATATGTTTGTTCTATTTATCATACACACTATGATAAATTGATATCCTACTTAGGTTAAGTTTTTAAAATAATATTGTAAGCGTTTTTAAATAACTAAGTTTATTTGTACATATATATTTTTATTTTGTGACCTGAGCATTGCCATAACAACAAATGATTATTTTTAAGATACATTTTTAAAGACTTATTGTATGTATGTACTTATACATTATTACTGATTTTCAGATCAGAAAAAAAAAACTATTTTATTATTATTATTATTATTATTTTTTTTTTTTATATTGATTCAATTAATTATATTTTTGTATGTTTTTTCATAAAAGAAAAAAAATATTGTGACATAAATTCTCATTAAAATATATGTATTTTTAGTAAAAAACAATACATTTTTTTTACACTTAGAAAATTTAAAATACATTTTTCAGAAGTACTATATTATGTGATAAATATAATATTTATTATTTATTACAGCAACAAACTATGTAGGTTTAGTTAATGACTGTTATATTCTGAAAGCTCTGCAAGCTGAAAAAAAATAAGCGTAGATTAGAATACATTTTAACTACCCACCAACGATGAAAACCTTATAATTAGGGCCCAGATGTTGATGATTTGCATTATTATTATTATTTTTTCGGGAATGTTTTCCTAGACTATCTATTTCAATAACAAACAAATCTATATAACTAATTTTTATGTTATCATTTTTTTTTCGTTTTTTGTTAATTAAAATTTTTTTTAACAATAGATTGAATGTAAAGTTATAAGTTACTTATTTCTGATGTCTGAAATACACAAATATGTGCATAAAGATGGCTATAATCACAAATAAGAATAATAATTTATAATATATAGTCATCAATTTCAATTCTAATATATACTTATATAAATTGTTCTGTTAACTGCGATACAACAATACTTTTAGTTAAAATATAAAAATTTCGTGGACTCATGTTTTTATGTTATAATCTATAAATTTTTATGAGCATTTTATAATAGGGTTTTATGACATCAACCATCCAGGCCTTACTTATAATAATGGATTAGTTTTGTTTTCCACTATTTATTTTATTTGATTGTAAAACGATGAAAACGTCATAATTAATACTATGTTTGTCCTCTAAATGAAGATTTCACAAAAAGAAACAATATTCATCTTAAATAATAATTCTTCATTACCTCACGCTCGTCATCAATATCTTCGTCGTCTGAGGCGCCAGGTGTGGTCGGTCGACTACTCGATGGTGACGGTGGTTCAGAATAAGGACGAGGATAATTGTATCGACGTCTCGATGATGCTTCTGTGATGCATAACGTTTCTGTTTCTTTATCAAACATATCCGGGAACACTTGACATAATGCCTTCAACCTGGCTTGGCGATAATACTGAAAATCAATGTAATTGTTAACGCCACTGTCAAGTATCGACATAAATGTTAATATTGTTGTAATTGTCGAACCGATTTTATATTACGGCAATCTGATGTCTCCCGTTCGTTTTTAGTTATTTATGGCAAATTTTTTTATGTGCACGCGTGGGGATTGTGTTAATGTGTGTAARGTAATTAGTGTGACATTGTGTAAAATAAATAGTGGAATGCTCTAATGCTTAGTACCGTAATTTAAGAGCCAAAGACTCAGGTGCAAACAAAATATGTATGTGTATAGGGCCCACTTTTTTTACATAAATTTGTACTGCACTATAACGATGTAGTACTGCATACTATTCTAGGACGTGGAGCATCATAAAATTAACACATAAAAAGACTGACTTCATATCATGGGTGTTTCTTTATTTCTTAGATATGACACTGTTAGTGGGTGTATTGAATGTTAAAGAACCAACGAAATCCTCATTGAACAATCAACAAAATGTGTTTGTGATGTCACTCTAGACTGAGTAATTTTCCCATTAAGATAAACAAAACAGACTGGGCTTTTAAATTTTCAGAATATGAAACTAAATACCAGATAACAATAAAATAATTACAAATTTAATTAACGGGCAAATGAAAAAAAAAGCATTTGTTGATGGTTATGGGCCCTTCGACCCGGTGAGACCTAGTACTGTATACGGTATACTATCTGCACTAAAGCTTTTTACGGAACTGGAAATTCAAAATCTAATTTTGAAGAGTTATGATGGCTAGACTAGACGCGGTATGGTTGGCATAAGATAGTTCTATTTTAATAAGAATTCTCTAACAAAATAATATTAATAGTTTTAAAATGAGCACTTACAATACCCAAATTACGCCAATCGAGTAAATCACTTAATCGTTCTGTACGGTTTCGCTGGATCACCCGTTGTCTACGGCTCATTCTTGCAAAATCGTACATATACTGCGCGAGCTGTCTGACAGATTCTTCGATGCTGATGTTTTGTCGATCCACGATATAAATTCCGTAACTTAAAGGATCAGCGATATGCTGGGCCATAAAACAACCGAAACCTAAAAATGYGAGGTTAAATAGTTATAACTGTTATAAGGCAAATAATAATTAATTTTCCATGAGGGACACGCGTAAACGATACGTTTTTTTTTGTGTTAGCTGCTAGTATTAAGTTATGATATCTCAACAATTACAATTAAACATGATGATAAATTATACATTACATTATAATATTATACAATAAAATCAGCATCCAATATAAAAAAATTACAATTTTAATGGCAGTTGTAGATTTTGTGTTGAGTATGAACTATGGGGTAGATAGGTAGGTATATTAAAAGAAATATTAAGTTTTTAGGGCGTTAATTAAAATTAGGCGTTTGGTCTGTAGACTGTAGTGGCGTAATTAGGAATTTGGCTTGAGGTCGAGGGAATTATATGTTTATTTATATTATATGTTATAAGCGAATTCTGTTAGCCTCTTAGTAACCTTCCCTACCAAATATAAAATATTGGCAGTAAAATAAAAGTTTTGGGGTGATCTATCCCCTCCCCCCCCCTATTACACCCCTGCTATAGAGCAGGGCAGTCAAATAAAATAAGGGATAGGTCACAAATACATTAATTTAGATGAAGTGTACAGAATGGAGAATCATTTAGACCAAGTTTGAATTAGTGGCTGGRTAGTAGATGRTGTCCTATGCATAGGCRATTGAATTGTATAATATATGGTTTATGTAGTTTATGTAAGTGTAAATTATTAAACTAAGTTTTTTTTAGGGATTTTAGGTGTAATATTTTTTTTGAGGCGAGGCCCGTAAGTAAAATATTCCAAAAAGAGAGGTGAAGTCCGAATGTGGAAGTTTAGTAGAAGAAAGAAAGATAAGATTTAGCCAGGTTCTCGGCAACTTTGTTACCGTGTATAAAACGATGAGTTATATTGGAACAGATGTAAATTACACAGATTACCAAATGTACCTATATTTGTTGGTCGGAATAATAATAATATGTAAATACCAAATTCTACACAGGGCCGGCGTTAAGGGGGAGGCATTTCGTATTTGTCCAAGGCCTCACGCTTAAAATTTAAGGTTATAGGCTAAAGGTGGATATGGTTATTGATTGAAAAAATTTACGCAGAGCAAATGATTATAATATAATTAAAAAGTATAAAATATCACCAACCCCACCCAATCARAAWGATGAATTTTTTTTAAGTCAACATTTAGCATTCAATTAGCACCAATTTACAAGACTATTTCCACAATTTKCAAGCYTTTAGTTTTACCATAAGACGAAAAAAACTAGGGGTRGAGCTGAAGACACTTATTGTTTACAGCCCCACCCATATCAATGAAAACACATTTTAAAATGATTCTTCTTTYACCATAATTTAGCAGAAAATTAGCAACGATTAGTGAGGTCATCGTGGAAATTTGCAAACCAATATTTCGTCCGTAAAAGGGATTTCTAAAATTCGCATATGAACCCAAATCATGTATCCCATATTCCCACGTTTAAAAGTCTAGCGCGGATACAATAATAATATCTAGATAAAAAAAAGTCTAAGATGTAATAAAAAATATAACTTGATTAAAAAGTATATTTTGAATAAAAAAATTTCATATAAAAAATATGACTGAAACTTTGATTATTTTATTCAATTAACGTTGTTAATATTTTTTAATCAAATATTATTTTTTATTACAACTTGTTTAACAATTTTTTTATCCAGCTTAGATTTTTTTTATCCGTTGTAAAATTTGCAAAAAATACCTAGGCGTGAGGTGCTGTCGTTTCCGTAGCACCCCCAACTTAGAATTTGGAATAATTTACGAACTGTCAAGGTACAGACGATTTTATGTGAGGTACAAACAAGTACAAACGATGTACAAAAGATTGGTATGAGTTTCAATATAAAATGAATAAAAGAATGTAAGTTAATATAAAAAATATAATTTTTTCGTTTTATGGCAAAACTAAAAGCTAGCAAWTTGTTGCTAATTGAATGCTAAATGTTAACTTTAAAAAAATGTCATCTTTTTGTTTGGGTGGGGTTRGGCACACGTACGTTAAAATATCTGGGAAAACAGAATTATATTTATATATTTTTAGATTATTTGGCYACAATATGAGAATCTTTGTAACAAATATTYCATCCTTAGCTATAAAAAGTGAACATATTACAATTGTTCGACTACCTACAAAATAATTTTAAAATGTTAGAGATTTTGTCAAAATTTGAACTTTAAATATTTATAAAAAATATCATGTCTATGTATTTTTAATATTTCTCAACTGATATCATAAATAATTCCGAAGAACCTTGTAGCTATTACATTTTCAATTTGTTTGATCCAACAAATAACATTTTATTGGCATATATAAAGAAGAAAACTAAAAAAATTGAAAATKTTCGTAACAAATTAAAAAGACTCATGTTTGAACTTTTATCTTGTACAGACAGTTTYAAGTATTTACGATTTTTCGTTTTTGAATAAATTAMAACAAAATATRAGATCATGGGAGTACAATGTTATAAAAATGTGCCGATTTTGACACTCAGACGTTCATAAAAAGTTATTGTGGATTTATGCTCAAATTTTTCTTTGATTTCCACAGACAACAACTTATGAAGAACTTTGTATTACATTTTCAGGATTTTTAAACTCACGAATTTGTTTTTATCAACATAAGCTTTTAAAAAAAAGACTAATAAAAATCGATAATTTCATATACCTACCTTATAATAAGTAGCTCATAATGAGTCAAAATATTTTGGGAATTTTATGGTGTATAGGAAATACTAATATAAAT